TTTGAAATCCCTGGTAATGGATTATATAATAGGTAGAAAATCACATTAAAATTGATTTTTTCCACTTTAGTTTTGCTTTGCGTTGTGCAAAATTTTGTAAGATTTTCTGCATTTATCAAATGAGTAATACGGAAATTTTGCAAAGCGAGTGTCGGCCTATTTCATTTCTAACTCTAAATACAAGTTGCAAACGGTTCCGTTAACCTCCCCCACCCACCGCATTTTAAAGAACAAACCCCCCCCCCCCCCCCCCCCCACACCGCACCTGAACCAACCCTCCTCACCGGGTGCGAGGTAATTGGTTTAGGTACGGGCTTGGAGGGGGTTAGTGGTTCAGGTGGGGGGAGCGAATGGTCAAAGATGCAAACGTTAGGGGGGATGGTTAATGGAAGGAGGATTAGTCCACCTCCAATTTAACACTCCGTTCAAAGTTTCTTAAAGTTTAAAAAAATTGTTGAAAGAAACAAAATTCAGTTACTGAATAACATTTAAAAAAAAATCAAAGCACCGCAGCAAAAAATAATTTGAGCAACCAGTAACCAACGTTAGTCTAAAACGTAGAAAAAGCTTTATGTGCGGTAAAATTCGCATCTCAATAAAGTGAAAAAAAAATTTATTACAGAATGGATTTTTTTTGCCTCGAAAAATAGTAAAATTATTATGCATTTTTAATTGATTATATTTGATTTTTTTTCCATTTTTGTGGACACTGACAATGAAACTCAATTATAATCGATTTTTATTCATGGAACTACAATGCGGGCTGTTGTCGATCCTGCCCAATTTTGGTCGCTATGGACAAGTTTGGACACATGCATTGAAAAATTGCATGATAAGATAAACCTTTTTTCTACAACCGTTCTTTTAGATATTTCATTTCTGGAAAAACTTCTAAAAAAATAAACTACGAAAAAGCGAAAGGAATATTTTCCAAAAATTCTGATACCAAAAAAATGTGCCTCAAACTAATATGCCAGATATAGTATTCATTTATATACAAATAGAACAAAAAAGGATAAGTGAAAACACACGCTCTGTTCAAAAAAAATTTCAGTACAATCACAAATTACCCGTGTCGAAGTGCTCAATTTGTTTTGATTTTCTCGACCAAAAATTGGTATGTTTCGACCGCCTCGACCAAGTTTTGGTATGTCTCCATTTTCTCGACTAAATTTTGGTATGTTTTGACTTTCACGACCCAACAAAAAAGTGTTCGACTTTGTTCGACCCAGTTCAGATATGTTTCAACTTCCTCGACTTTCTCGACGAAAAATTTTTAAAAATTTGTTTGTTCGACCTCGCCGAGATATGCTTCGACATTCTGAACCAAAAATGGGTGTATCTCGACTGTCTCGACTAAAAGATTTTTGATCGATCCCAGATTCGTTTCAAGCGGCGTGACTAACTATGCGATGTGTAATGATTTGCTCATATCCAGATCACAAAAGACTTGTTCTCGACCAAAATTGGGTATGTTTCGACTGTGCTCAACCTTTGTTTCAACTTTCTCGACCGACGTTTTTATAAAATTTGTTTCTTTGACCTCGAATAGATATTTTTCGAGATTCTCAATCAAAAATGTGTGCATTTCGACTGTCTCGTCTGAAATGTTTTGATCGATCCCAGATTTGTTTCTAGCGGCGTGGCTAACTATGAAATTTGTAATGATTTGCTCATCTCTAGATCACAAAAAGCTTTGTTCTCGACCAAAATTGGGCATGTTTCGACTTTTTCGACATATGTTTCAACTTTCTCGACCAAAATCGGGAACGTTTTGACTTTCTGCTTGCCCTATATTTCAACTTTCTCGACCGAAATTGAGTATGTTTTGACTTTATCAGTCTATGTTTCTGATATTGAGGAGTAAAAATTATGCAAAATTTGGTAAGAACCCTGTGAGAAGTTTTAATAGTCTACAAAATAGTTACTAACAAAGAAAAATTAACAGCCATCCTAATGGTAACTATATGATGGTCTTAAAGGTTTATCAGAACAATCTGTTAAACTTTTGACTATTTTTATGCATATTTTTCCAAAAATTGATTTTTTAACTGATCAGCCGCAAATATGTGATAAGAAACTCTCTAACGAAAATTGAATCTTTAGAACTTGTTTGAAACATTGATCTTTGTCAATTTTCATTTATAAAAAACACCGGATTTTCATTTTTTAAACTTCTCCGTGAATTGTTTTTGCATCGTAGTTTCCACTTAAAAGTATCCATAAAAAGTTTTCAAAAATATGGAAAAAAAACTGAATTTTTCATTCATTGTTGTTAGATCATTCAGTTTCATTCATATCCTAATTTCCTACTAATACGACCTTACCATAGCTCTTGCAACGATTAACCCCTTTCCATTGAAATTTTGGTCAATACATGTACTTTTGCCTGTTCACAAGGTTGCTTGAACCATGAATCGTTTTCCGACATTTCCGCTGTTCTCACGATTGAGTTTACGACCTTCCTATAACCTTCCAAGTTGATTTAGTTCGCTTACTAAGCATATAAATTTTTTTGAATGTTAAGGGCGATGGGTCTGTTCCAGACAGTGAACTTAAAAAGCAACAAAACTGCTCGTACATCAGGGCAAAATCCTGAATGTTCCGACTGTACCTTAATTCGTATCGAATAGTTTTTGGGAAAAGAAAATATTGAAAACCTATAAATTTTGGACAACATCAAAAAAGTGTTAAATTTGATTCGCACCGATTAAAACGACTGATTAGCTAGCCTCAGTTCAATTTGGAACAATTTTGTTGCGCGGGATAACTGGCCACGCACAATTAGTTCGCGTTACGCTCTCAGAATTATGAATAAACTCTGCAAAGCGCGCTTAAATTGTTCAACATTTTGGCCAATTTGGCAATTTTTAAACGCCAAGAAATTCACAAAAAAACAATTGGAGGTAAAATATCTTTTTAAATTTTAAATCAAGAAGGCGATACCTTCAATGGGGTATGTAAAATTTTTTGTTGAAAATTATTGTTTCGATCGGCAAAAATTGACTGAATAAAAACACTACACCGAGCATGAATATTCCGTTTTTCTCCAAAAGTTTACGACTGACAGTAATTGAAAGCAAAGCAGAAGTAAGGCACCCAATTAGAAGAAATTAATTAGCCCAAAATTGAATCATAATTTATTACAGCAATTATTCTGATTTTGAGGGAAAGGAATTTGTGGAAAAATTGTTCGTTTACCTCTTAATTTTTTCACTTACCCGTCAAAACGCCTTCTTCATTTTGTTTTGCGCTTTATTGAGCTCACATCCTGGATCAGATCCACCTCCTTGCCGGTCAGAGAATTTTGTTAACTTTATCTTTTAAATAGATAGAGGGAAAAAATTTTAGATGTTTCCGCAATGGTTGTTTTTAGGAGGTTGTGATACCTCAAACTTTTTGATTGAGATAGTTTTATATATATTTTTTGAAATTTTAGACCGGGAAAATATTAGCCCTTAATTTGTATTTTGTATTTAGGCTTGTGTATTTGTATTTGCGTATCTGTATTGTTCCAACTTTCGTAATATTGAACTCGGGTGGTTTTTTTTCTCCAGGCAAATTTTGACTTCTTAAGGTATTGTTGTTTGAGTTTAAAATTGAAAACATATTTCACCTGTGATCAATTTTTGGTAAACTTATGGGGGTCTAAATATTGCCATTTTGGCTTATTTGGGACAATTAACGCTCGATATAATTCGCGCTTTTAACGCGTAAGTGGAGATTTAATCCGTCTTAAAATTTTTCCAGATTTGTTGAAGAAAGCTTATAAACCATAAATGATTTGTTAATAGGAGCAAAATCTATTACTTTGAACTTTATATGGTGTGTGGGGGGATGATTTAAACAAAAATCTCAATTTAAGAAAAAAAATCGCTTTATTTCATTACATTAAATTTTTTCTTGTTTTTACTGCTCCATAGACCTTAAAAGGCAGTTGGAACATTCAGTCTTGTTGTTCTTGTTGTTACTGCTCCATAGACCTTAAAAGGCAGTTGTTGGAACATTCAGACTGGTTGTTCTGGCTTTCGAACAACAAGACATACGAGGAGTCTTGCTGTTCTGAATTTCGTAACGAAAGTAACGGAATCCTTGTGCTCGGGGTGTTTTTTTCTTCAGACAATTTCGTCGTTTAAACTAGCCAGTTTTGACTGAACTGTTTTATATCATTCGAAAAACATGGTTGTCCTGAGCCTAAATTTGAAAAGATATTTTACTTGTGATCGTTTTTCGCAACGGAGATTTGGAGATTTAAAGATTACCATTTTGGCAAATTAGGACAATTAACGCGCGATATATTTCGCGCTATCATTGCGTAAGCGGAGATTTAATCCCTCCTAGAAATCGTTCAAAATTGGCTGAAGGCAGCTTGTTTGTCATAATTTATTTGTTACTAGGAGCGAAATTTATCACTTCGTACTTTATATGGTGTGTGGGGGGATGATTTTCACAAAAAATTTCAATTTAAAAAAATGATAATTTTATTTTTATTATATCATTTAATTTTTTCGTGTTATTACTGATCCACAGAACTTAAAATGCAGTCGAAACATTCAGGGCAGTCTTGTTTATGTTTGTATTTGAGCCAATATTTTGTATGCTAGAAAATTATCCATGATATGGGCGGAAAAAATAGACAACTCGGAAGTCTACTTTTGGTTGTTGGCAAGTGCTCAGAGTAGTTACAAGCGACAAAAAAAAAGACTGAAAATATGGACTTTCATAGCTCTTCTGGAGCAAATAATATTCCAATTTTTTCATAGATTGTTTTCCGCTTGTGCCAACCCACAAATGGGCGGGCTACTAATCGGAACCATAACCCCGCGCGGGGAGGGGGGTAATCAAGCGAATGTTGTTCAGTAAAAATTATTCCTTTCTTTTTAATACCATTTATTTGTACTTTTCCAAATAAAACAATTTTTAATTTTTGCCATATCCAAGCAAAATAAAATTTTAAGCTTTTGTTTTCTTGTTGTTGCTCAAATACGAAAATTGTGCAATTTATTTTTGTAACATGGAAACACAATTAATTGAATTGCGGTTCGTGATATATACAATTTTTGGAAAGTTTTTGGTTTTTGTATTTATATCGCAGGAGAGTTTTATTCACAGTGTTACGAAGAACGCGATTGTGTAAACCAGAACTCCGATCAAGTATACAGTTCCGATCACGACGTCAACCAATCTGGGGCTGATTGCCTGTTTCTTCCTCTTGGTTCCGAAGTCACTTAGAGCCATATTGGATACCGTTTGAGAAGAATCCTTGGCATAGGTATCTGAATTATCATCATCATGGACCTGATGATCGAAGTTAATTGAAATAGTCGCCAAAACCATTGTCAAGCCAGACAACATCACACTTGTCAGGAAAAACGTGAACAGTTTGGGGAAGTGTTTCGATGTCATCGGGAGAAAATCAGTGAAGATTGTTAGACTAACAGTCAGAGCAAGAGTGACGGTTATTCCGTATCCCAATTTCTCCCCCAGTTTTCCAGGGATGAAAAAAGTAAGTGAGCTCAAGATTAGAAGCATGACGTTAGGAACGACAAGATTGACTACAAAGTAAGTTTGGATCCGATCGTAGGTGACAGTTATGATTGCATCACTGTATGACTGGTTATCGGTGTCCGAGATTTCCTCTTTGCAAGTGGCACCTGAAATTATAAAGAGTTCACGATGAGTCTTTGAAATATATTGAACGGACTATGCTTACACAAGCCCGATAGCCTTTCATAGATCTTCTGCGAACCACAGACGCCTCAATAATCATTTTTATTTTAAAACGGTAAATGTAAATTTTTTATATGCTTTTTTCACTATATATGTAATACATTTTACCATCTACAGTTGAATATTTTTAGAGTGATTTTTCAGAGTGAAACTATAAGAAAACTTCCATAACAAAAAAAGCCAGCAAGCAAAAAGTGCTAAAATAAACTGTAATCTTATGATGAAAAGGCATCTTATCAATCATACGATCAACCCGGGATGGTAAGCAATGCCCGTTATATAACTTCATGCTATGAAAAAATGCTTGTCACTTAGAGCCATATTGGATACCGTTTGAGAAGAATCCTTGGCATAGGTATCTGAATTATCATCATCATGGACCTGATGATCGAAGTTAATTGAAATAGTCGCCAAAACCATTGTCAAGCCAGACAACATTTTTTCTCAATCATACGATCAAGCCAGACAACATTTTTTCTCAATCATACGATCAACCCGGGATGGTAAGCAATGCCCGTTATATAACTTCATGCTATGAAAAAATGCTTGTCTTACTGTTTCATACATTTTATGGGCTGAAAAAAAGTGCTAAAATAAACTGTAATCTTATGATGAAAAGGCATCTTATCAATCATACGGTCAACCCGGGATGGTAAGCAATGCCCGTTATATAACTTCATGCTATGAAAAAATGCTTGTCTTACTGTTTCATACAACTTATGGGCTGAAAAAACTGTATGAAAAAGCAAAATAAGCATTTTTTCCATATTGAGAAATTTTACAATTAGCATTTTTTGCCACAATCGATAATTAAATAACAAGTTTTTTGCCATACTTTTCATCACAAAAATTAATAAAAATAGCAATTGCAACTTTTTGTATTATGAAATCATTTTTATTTTTTGCTTTTTTCATTAAAATTTCATAGAGCGTGGTTTTTTAGTAAAAATTTTTCAAAAAATGCCCAAAATGGCTTTTTTTACCTGTTTTTTTTTCTCAAAAAATTGTCTGTGGCGCAAACAATATTCTCAAAATACGGTCTGTTAGTGTACTCGAAGGACTTGGAAAATCAATTTGGTCGACCTTAAAAAAAGTCGACAAAAATTTGATTTTTTTTTGAAAATCTGCCTCCACTTCAAGAAAATTTTAGATCCGCCCATGAATTGTATGATTTTTTTTTCAAACTATGAAATTTCATGAAACGTTTTTTTAAAAAAAACGGTAAAATTAAAAAATTTTGTTTTGAAATTTTGCACTTTGTTCAAAACAAACTAAGCAAGAAACTATCTGCGATAGAAAAAGTCAGTTACAACGAAGATAAACTTGATTTGGTGATATTACAAATGTAAGTTAAAGTTAACATTTTCACACTTAATTACACATCAGAAACGTAAACTTTTGGCTAGAAAAATTTTAGTTAAAAAAATTCGGTGGTTGAGAAAAAAGGCCTGTTTTTTCAAAACAAATTTATGTTAATCTTAGCATATGAAAACAAAAAAAATTGTGTTTATAAAAACACCTACTTGTAATTTTTGGATTTTTTGGGTGAAAAACTCAAGCTGAACTACGTTATAGGCGCAAAATGTCAAACTTTGCTTGCAAATTTTTTGTGTGAAATGTATTTTTGAGCGCAGAAGCAAAATGGCAATCAAAAAACGATGAAAAAAATTTTACCTCAATTTTGTAGATTTTCTATGAAAAAATGCAAATCATAGAATTTTTATTCATGAAATTGAATAATAAGCTGTTTTTAAAAAAAAAATTGATTTCAAAGTTGCTTTCATGTAACCAAAACTGCCACTACATTATTTGTTCGGCTTTTGAACCAATTTAAGATATTTCTCGAAAAAAAAACTTTCGATTGAAAAAATGCTTGTTATACAATTTTTTTTCAATGAAAATTGTATGATACGCATTTTTTCCATATATGAAATTGTATGAGTGGAATTTTTTTGTATGGATGTCAACCCGGGAAGTCCGTTAGTGTTTTTTATTGGGATCAATTGAGCAATCTACCCCCCCCCCCCCCCCTGTAATGACCAATTGAGCTATCTCCCCCCCAGCAAAAACGAATAAACTATTCAAAAAGACGTCAGGAAACGGAAGTAGATGGATGTTTTGCTTATAGCACGCAATCGTTTGACCGACTGAAGTGTTTTGTTTATGAGTATTGAAAAAAATTTTGAAAAAAAAACTCGAAATTTATGAAATTTTTTTTTTTGGAAATTTTTGTATAGGCGACCATAGCCTCATCGAGGAAAGCGGTTTACCAGGGTTGGTGCTCTGGCCTTGTGTACGCAAAAGCTTTTTGTCTTTTTAAGAAAGAAAAAACTCGCTTTTTATGCCTGATTTATTGATTCTTTTTTCTATTTGAATGAAACTTTTGTTTTGAGCTTTGATATTGTAAACTTTGGCTTTCCACAGTCGTTGGAAAATACCCCCCCCCCCCACGCGAGAATGGGGGGGGGGGAGATTGCTCAATTGATCCTTTTATTGTCTTAGCTTGCGTTTATTCTTCCACTCTTAAGAATGTTCACGTGTTTATAAACATGCGCACAATTCAATACTCTCGTTGCTTCACTTGATTGAAAACATGAAAAACCGAGTGTTTTAATTGAAAGTTCAGGTAGCTCTCGTGGTCTTTTTTCAAGAGATTTTGTCAAGTAAAAACACGCAATTTTTCAAGCGAAAAGATGTGAACATTTTTAGAGTGTATTTTTGAGTTTATAATGAGCGACTTACTTTGCAGTTCCCACAGGCTATCTGAACTGTACACCGACAAGTCCACGTGGTCACATGACATCCTGATCTCCGAAGTTGAATACTGCCAGGAGCCAATAGAAATATGACACGTCTGAGAATCGAAGGGGAAACGAGTCGTGTCCATAGAACAACTAGTTTCGTAGTTCGCCGGCTGAGCCCAGTGAACTAAACCTGTATGCCGAACCAAAATGGGGACCACATAGTTGAATCTGTCGTACTTGGTATTCCCGACATCGTTGAAAGGCACGACGTCTGGAGTCCAGAGGTTCGGCCGGTAGAGCCGCATACTTTCGATTCCAGAGTAGTTAGCTGGATCCCAGCGTAAAAACTCATCGATCCACTCCATACGTTGAAATGTCAGCATTTTGATTGTTTGCGCCTCAGAACTAAACCCGACTAGTTGATAAATTGCTGTTTCATAGTAGATGTGAACAATTGTCGAGTGGTTTTCAACAGGGCGTGATTGGAAATCGTAGTCTTGGAGGAGATCTTTTCGAAGCTGGGTCTCGACTCGGCTTGCAAAAATGCCGAACAAATATGAACACAAAACAACTAATCTCAGCATCATTAAATTTTAAACGATACTTTTCAGTTTTTCTTCAAGTTAAAATGATATTTATAAGAAGGTTCATTAAACCAATGAACTCTCCAGATAATTATTTTGTCTGACTAATAAACACTTGACGCTTTTTCAGCGTCGCTCTAATTTTGCACACCAAAGTGAGTGTTGATATCCAGTATGTTATAGATACTATCTTCATCAAATGAACATTGACAGATCGCATGGTCTATAAACTTGTGGGCCACATATGGACCATAAAATCGCATATGGACCATAACAAAACAAAAACTTTTGTGCTTGCGCATAAAAGCTTCGGCATTGATAGGACCAACTACATGAGATCTCTAACGCATATGAAACAAAAGAAGTAAGCTTGCGAGCATTAACAATATCAACAAATTCTTAGCAAAGCTTTTTTTGAAAATAGCAAAATGAACAAAAAATTTTTCATTTTGAGAAAATTTCAGAATTTTTTTAAATTGAACATGAGAGTAATAATAATAATAATAACACTAATTACCGAGCGTCGGAGGCCCTTGAAAAGAAAACCATACCTCCACGCACTTACTTGGCCAAAATGCCGTAATTTTCAATGGATTTGTTTCGGGTTCCCTTGCCGTGTCCTGCTTGCTGCGCCATTACAAACCGTAATCAATACGTTTATTACAACGGTATAAATTGTCCCAAACTATAATCTGTAATTCATTCAACAACAGCTATTTTAGTACTCAAACAGTAAACTGGATGGCAAAATTGCAGGTACTTAATCAACTAACACCGAAGTGACAGATAACTCAAAGGGCGACAACAATTAACCTCAAACAACTCAAGCTCAAACTAACTGATGTACTGAAATATACATATAAGACACATACGTCAGATATAAAACAGAACCATCGAAAACATGAGTATCTTTTGATTAAACCTGAAAACGCATAGAAAAACGCAACATGAGTCATGCCCGCATTTCGTTAATAAAGCGTTAGTTATAACAAAATTAGAAGAAATGAGATGAACTAAAACTTCCATAGCAATTGTCAACAATTGTTGCAATCACTTCTTGGAAAAAGTGTCAAGGAGTTTTGGCTTCCGATTGAATTTAATCAAGCTTAGGGTATTCGATTGAAACTTCCTATCAGAAACGAATGAGTGTTTTAAATTATAATATATAATGTGTAAATAAATTTTTTCTTTCGAAGTGCATTTTCAAAAAAAAAAAATTGTCATAATTTAAGATTTTGAATTAGTCCCTTTCTCTGCATTTGTTCCAATTTATTTTGTTTTATGAATTTTTTAGGCCTAATTTGGCAGAAAATCTCAAAATCTATTGAGTTTTCAAAATAGAATCAAATATTTATGCTTGGAAAATGTTTATCAGAAAAGTTTTGAATAAACAATAAAAAAAACGACCTTTAAGCCTGTAAAAATACTGAAATTCCTGAAATTATAAAGAAAAAAGTTTTTTTTGTACCTGCAATCATTTTTGATGAAACTTGAGGGTTTGAACGTTGTCAACAAATACTTATATGGACTTGTTTTCGCGTGCTTTCAAAAAGTTTTCTATTATGATGCAAAAAGTAATTCCTACATACTTATGATTGGCGAATTGTCCGTTACCCAAGTTTTTCCAAATTGAGTTGAGGTAAATGATTAGTCAATTTAGTTCCATATTAGACTCACCCGCACCGAAGTTTCATGGATAATAATCGATTATAATGGATTTTCGTTGACTAAAATGTTGTCAATATAATCGATTATCATGTCAAATTTAGACCATATAATGGATTTTTAATCGATTATAATCGATTATTTTGGAAAAATTTAAATCCATTATAATCCATTAGAATCGATTATAATGGATTTTTATTGAATAAAATGTTGTCAATATAATCGATTATCATGTCAAATTTAGATCACATAAGTGATTTTTATTCGATTATAATCGATTATTTTGGAAAAATTTAAATCCATTATAATCCATTATAATCGATTATAATGGATTTTTGTTTTCAATATAATGGTTTATTTTTTTTACATAAAATCCATGAAAATTGAAAAAAAATTTTAAATAATGACTCTAATTTCTGCAACTTTCTGCAAAACTCGAACGAACACGTTCATCCAGGGGCGACCAATATGTAGTAAATTTCCAAAAAAAAAGCCCAAAAACAGCATTTTTGACCAGCTCTTCACGTCAACAATAACACCCCCCCCCCCGCCAACGTACTCCCTCCCCCCAACGTAACCCCTCAACGTATCCAATATCCAACCCCCCCCCCCCCACCAACGTACCCCCCTTCCCCAACGTACCCCCCCCCCCCCCTCAACCTACCCCCCAACCCACGACGTAACCCCTTCACGTTTACCCATCCCCCCACGAAACCCCCAACCACGACGTGCCCCCTCTCTCTCTAGTTAGGGGACATCTAACTCTAGTAAGGGACATCAACTCTAGTAAGAGGTGAGGGGGGACATCAACTCTAGTAAAAGGTGGGGGGGAGGGGAGGGTTGGTGTGCGATCTATAGGTAACTTTTTATAATTTTTCAATAACTCGATTGAAAATAGGAAAAAAAGAAATTAAGCGAAAAGAAATTAAAACAAAATAACTAACTTAAGTTTAACAAAATTATGAACAACACACAAAAATATTTGAATAAATAGATTATAATCCATTATAATTGATTAAAATGGATTATTTTTCTTTTGAAATTTTTTTTTTTGAAAATAATCGATTATAATCGATTATAATCGATTATATTAGGATTTTATTGCTTTAAAAATTATTATCACTATAATCCATTTTCAATCGATTATAATCGATTATTTTTGTTATTTTGTAGAGACTGACAATAAAAATCCAATATAATCGATTATTATCCATGAAACTTCAGTGCGGGCAAACTATAACACTAACTGTTTGATATTGACTGTTTGGGGAAGAGAACATAGCTTCCAATTTCACAAATTGACAATAACAAATTATTTGAGAATACTCAAAGAGCAGTCAAACCGCTTAGAACTTCTTCTTGATACGAGCAGCATAGCTTTAGTTCAATTTCAAAATATCCCGGTCTCGACGTTTTTTGTATTAAACGCACAGAAGATAAATTTTTTTTGTTGTGCTGTTTTTTCAATGTGCGGCAACTTTTGACAAATTAGGGTCTATGATGGGTTTTGGGGAATTTTGATAGCCGAGAAAGCTCTGAAATAGCAGCGGATTTAGGTGACAAGCGGACTCCTCCTTCCCTAATGGATAAAATCCTCTCGCCACCATAAGAATCAACTTGTGGTATTATGTACGAAATCCATTTTTTAGCAAGCTGAATTTACCGTTTTTCTTTGACGCCAAATTGCCCAAAAGTTGAGAGGGAGCGCGCACTACAAACCACAATGCTTTGGGCGCAACTTTTAAAAAAAAACTGAAAATTTTCTTTTTGTTTTTTGGCTTTTTTTAAATGATTTACCTGCGGCGCATAAATGTTGAGCAAAAAAGGTTCTGTATAAAGTTATAGGGCAGCTGAGATACACATTGTCGGTCTCTCCAACTCTTCCTCGAAAAAGTTCTACGTGACTGGACGAAATCGATGAAAAAAAGTTCAACAATTCGGAGGAAAAAAAAAGATTCTTGCGCTCATACGATCTCGAGTACTGAGTGATAAAATGAAACATCTTTTCAACAATTCCATCGTGTCACATCTCAGTTTTTTTGTTCTCCTTTCGTTTCATTTGATCGCTCCGACAAAAATTTAATATGTTTAAAGACTTGTCTCTGGATTTCAGAGACCTACATACTTCAAAAAGTGCACAAATCCAATGCAAAGTTTGGCCTCGTAATGCATGTGAGCAGTTTTTGAACAGCCTAACTTCGTAATTTTACAAGGGGTTAGAAACTGGAGAAGGGCCAAAAAATTCTTAATCGTTTTGTTTGGAGTTGTTAATTTGAAGGTCGAAGTTATCTGGAAAAAACCGCATCTGTTCTGTGGTACTGCAGCATCCGCAGTACATAACCTTGAGGACAGTTTGCTAGCTATTGCACCTGCAGTAACCATATGTGCTAACTATATCTATTATGCTATTATTATATAAGAGTGGTCAAGGCCATTTGGTGTTGCTAAAACGTTATAGATGAATTGGTCAGTGTTTCATATCGCATGCTATAAAACAGTAACCAATCTCAGCTACTAACTTCATTAACAAGACAAGATCAAGAACAGTAAATTAACACCATCTTTTCTTACTTTTATTCCTCAACACGCTAAGCAGTTTAGGAATATCACATGGCGCAACCAGCAGGATTTTTGGCTCAGGACAATAGAACTGACATGGGAATTCCTGTTTACTGGACCACAGCGAACTCTGATCCATCTTGGAATTTTAAAGTATGGTTCGATCAGTTCCTGATGGTGGTAACTGTAAAAGAAAATGTCAACCCAGAAGTTATGCTGGAAGATCCTAAACCAGTGTTGGAGGAGCCGGAACCCCGTCCAGAAACACCCAGAGAGGGCGAATCTGCTGCTGCAACAGCAGCTAGAGAAGCACGGGACAGACTATTAAAAGATCGAGTAGCAGCCGATAATGAAGAGAGGAGAGAAAGAGGACCTAAAGTGGGTCACAATATTTACTACAACGAAGTTCAAAAGAGCTAAGTATCCAGACTATTTCTTGCGTTTGGGACGGAAGGAAAGAAACGTTTTGTTCAAAAAAATCCACATGTGGAGATTTCTTAATTGCAATTTAAAGAGATGGCTAGATTAGCAAAGGAGACTTTTGAAAAGTGCCAGAGCATCACTTATGAGCGTTACAAGAAATTTAATAGATCGCAGGAAATGGGAGAATCGTTAGAGTCATTTCATGCCGCACTAACTGCTCAAGCAGCGAAATCGGCATTGGACACTTTAGAAGATGAGTTAGTCAGAGATCTCTTTTTTTCTAAAATGCGAAGTACAGCATTGCAGGACACGCTCACGTTCGAAACATTAACTCCCGAAGAAGTATTAAAACGTGCGATAAAATTCGAGCAGAGTAAACAATCGACACAGGCGTTTCAGAAGTCCACTCTGGGTACTGCTCAAACAGGGTCTCAAATTAAAATCAAGCAGGAACCGATTCTGGTGGTAGGAAACAGGAATCAGAATACTAGAAAACCCTATCGCGAAAGGAATAGACGGAAACAGCCGGAAGGAAGGGCGATATCGAATAAATATAACGCAGATGATAGGAAACAATGCAATAGGTGTGGCAGACCGTTTGTCGATGGTCATTTGAAAAATTGTGCGGCAATGGGGAAACAAGTTAAGAACTGTAACAAACCAAACC